TGTGTGTTAAGTGATTTTTATCCACTATCGATTACTCTTAATCATTATGCGATGGTCATGAATGCTCACAAATTGGGTGTTCTCGATTGAAGAGCATAACACACTGTAAGATAGTCAAAAAATACTCATTATGCTATCTCAGTAAAATCCCTTTGAAGATTAAAGTTAGTTACACCGTTGATGCTCTAAAGATTGTCACATTAACAGTTACAAACATTAACAGATAGAAATATGATATTGTCAGAATACTGCTACACCCCTCTCTCTGACTTATTTGCTCATTTTTACCACACTCATGGGTAAAATTACTCCCAATTGCTGCAATGTAAAAGATGTGCTCTTATTTTTTGTTATTTGACAGGCAGTGTTACAGTGTATTAAAACCGCCTCCAGTGTAAGTAATTTCGTGCACGTGTTCTCAGTAACACCATAAAGAGACATTTTTTAAATCTCACATATAGCATGTCAATTCGTGTTTATTTCAGCTATGTATTCCTGAAAATATATAATAATGTAATTTGTTTACTCTTAGGTGACACTCGCTGACTTGTCATTTGCCGATATATGCTACTGTAGGATGAAGCTGCGACTTGATGTTTGGAAAGATTACCCCAAATTAGATTCATTGAAGAAACGCGTTGAGAGTCGACCAAGAACTTCCGAGTGGATGAAGAAGAGACCAAAATCTATCAAATAATAATAAATTTAATAAACGAACATTCGTGGTTGAACAACACGTGTTTTAGTTCTTTTTATTATTTTCAGTTTGTTAGTTGAATTTTCGAGCTCACGAAGATCAGAAGATTGTTATGTTTGAAATCATTGCCTTGCTTTATAATATTTTAAGTTAACTGTGCATATCAATTTACATGCTCCATTTCACATCAGTATCATAAATGAATCGGACTAAGCAGCCAGCAGTACTTACAGGTCATAATATGTAAATATTAATGGATAGTTTAGCTAAATTGTTAGATCCATTAAATAGTAAACAGTCTTCTTTTTACTTCTCTTGTCTGAATTTGTTGATCTAATAGTATTAATCAACACATATATAATGACGCTGTTGACAATAAGGTAACGTGATCAGGCCGCAGTTACAAATACTAGTTTCCCCTCTAGCAGAAGCATTTAATTTAGGATGATACAATTGTTGACAATTATAACTACAGATGCTACGGGAGTAGCACGGTTACCCTCGGAAAAATCTCTTCAGTTGTTGCAAAGTTTCTACGTAAGTAGGTCAAGGCAACTAACATTAGAATAACAATGAAGCAATACAAAGGTCGGCGTTGGACAGAAGCGCCGCCTATAATTGTAGGCAATGAAATACGTGCGGTCGCGATTACTACACGATTACATACTAGTTCGAACATTTTCGTTCACTAGCGCTTTATCGAGAAAATCACTGAAATGTCACAATATAAGCTAGTATACTTTCAGTTTAGAGCACGGGCAGAATTGGCGCGGCTGGTTATGGCTGAGGCCGGAGTCGAGTACGAAGACGTCATAATAGACGAATTTGAAGAATGGCCGGCATTGAAAAGCTCACCAGGCGTCAAAAGTAAGTGAACTCAGTGTTTATGTCTTGCATATTTGAGTAGGCATTACGCAGAGCGCCATTGTGATTTGAGTTTATTGTACAAAACATCTGTACAGATAAATGACGAATGTTCATTCTGCACGTTTTTATATTAATTGTAATTTAAAACACATGTTGATATTATCAGACTATTACCCGAGAATGTCTGAATATAGTCAAATAGGGTTAGCAGACACATACCGTTCCGCTTTGGATTACCATACACAATGCACACTTAAGTTAATTCTATTGTGGGCAACGTGAAACGAGCGAAAGATTGACCTGGATTTTGTGTGATACGTGACCTATATCACCCACCTTTCTTGAAGATATTACTGGTACAGTTCAATTACAATCGAATTTTCTAAAATCAGAGACAAATATTCCTAGAAGGGAACAACAACAAAATAGATGCAGGCACTGGTGGGCGGAATACAATCGATGGTCACACCTTGACAAATCTAATGACGGGATTGGATAAAAATATTCTTAATCAGATTATGAACACGGAGATGTGGCAGAATGTAGAATCAGCGTCATATATTTGAATGAAGTACTTGGCAAAGTGTGGAAATGGTAACATTTATGTAATTCCAGCGAAACAAAAGACAATGAACACTTGATTATAAATACCTGACATATAAGAATAAATACGTTGACGAATGAGTTATTATCAAAACATCGATGGCAGTGGTGGATCCAGAGGAGGGGCCAGGGTGGCCATGGTCCCCAAACCCCCCTCATCTGGCTTACGCATAGCTTCTCTGCGATTTTTGCTCCGTAATGTTAAGCGAAGCTTGGCCCCCCAATACATTTTGCTGGATCCCCCACTGATCGATGGCAATAGTTTAAATTAGGTTACAAAATAATTATTGTCATATAATTAGTTCTACTAAGCTAACATCTTGGCCTCAGTTGTGTGAATATTTCATGCGTGAAATTTGTTGCGTTATTCTATTATTTGCTGTAATATAAATGTATTTTGATAATGCCCGGTTAGCTAGCGAGGCTTTCCCAGCTGCGAAATTAGAATAGACAGCATGTATTTCCATTGCTAATTAATATTCTTTTATTCGTGCTTGTGTAAGACGAACGTGAACACAGTCAGTTGTCATCCATCGTCCGCCTGCACGGTGTTGCTCCGTTTGAACATTCCTCCCTCCACAACACCGTGCGGTAATTTTATTCATTCACGTGAATGTCACGTGGTTGCGCGATAGAAAGTTTATCGGCCAATGGAAAGCTTTGTTACGATGACTACCAAAAAGCGCTTGGGGCTTTGCATTTCTTATGTCTTCATCTTCGGCTTCATTTCTGTCAATATATGTTGCAGTGACACCATGAGCTTTGAAGTATAACACCTACTCTTCTATAATACTCAACAGTGGCTCAACACTATTACCACGACCACGCTCGATGCAAGGCTGGTAAAGCATAATAACATAATGATTTACCATTTCCAGTGCGACTAAAAACGAACACATCAGACTCGGAACTCGGTACCCTGAACAGCTTTTGTCCGAATATTGTATTCCTCGACATCAACTGCAAGCCAACACAGCTTTAACTGAGCGAGCATTTTCATCGCCTGGCAACCATCATGGTGAAAACAAAGGCCAACAACTCTCAGAAAACAGTACTTTGGAATGGTTGTTGACACCCCCTGAACCGTGTAACAAGATTACCCTGCATATGCTGCATATGCAACATATTTAAATTTGGTTGTTTAGGATTTCTTGAAAATTAAGTTTGTGCTGTTTTTTCGATTTTAGCTATTTTCAACGGCTTTTCGACCGGCGTTCCACAGAGTCCATGGACATACATGGTAGAGTGGTGCGCGTCTTTAAAGCGTCTTGTGACTTAGCTCCGTCCCGACAATGTTGATAGCTTGGCCAAGCGCGTTGATGAAAGAAGCAATATGATTGGCTGTTGGTAAACTGATTCAAAACTGTGAGGGCATTGTCACATACACATATTCCTAAGAAATACTTCAAGGTAATAGTGGAATTCTTCGCCGGAACATTCACCTTGAAAATTCAAGATGGTTGTCACCCAGCTCCCGGCCAGTGCACTGCAGTTCAGCTCCGCTCCGTTGACGTGGCAACCAGCGCACGTCTCAAGATAATGCCTGTCCAATTCGGCATGTGAGCTGGTAGATGTAAGACAGCGTGCTGTGGTTCTGCGCTGAAAAAAAACAACATTACTAAAGATTGGTCTTTTCTTTTCACGGTTGGTATGGAAGTTGGGTAACATAGTGTAGTTTTCCTTCCTTGAGACCTCGCCGTTAGGAGCTGTAGAACCGATTTCGTCGCCGACATTGCTTTGAATGACTGTACTGTCGCTGAAACTACGCAGTACGAGTTCTGCACCTAGATAGGCTAGGCAATGTTCATTATTGTTATTATTGTGATGTATATTGCAGACCAGTTTGTGATTTATATTATTCCTTTATATTATATTATGGTTTATGTTATTGTATTATTAAATAAGTATTATTTGACATATTCTGGTTGTGTGGCTTTTTTCGACCTTTAGTGTTGCGTCCTGGAGCGCGGGATATTGGCGGCAAGGTTCGTATTCCCATTCGTAACAATTTTACTTAGTGAAACCATTCTTACCTTGCACCTAATCAATAAATATCGATTGCGCATTACTCGAACATGATCCCAAATTCGATACCCTTTCAGGGCCCTTTGATTAAGTTTAATTTTTTTGACAGTTGTCATGATTTTTCGTATATCAATAAATAAATCAACAGGGCAAATCTACCAAACGTAGGAAGCTTTTTATACCACCTTCGGTGGACAGGTAATTCAGTTAGAATATATCATTATAAGGGCTTGAATTCTAAAATCATTGTACTCGACAAATGTATCGCTTTTTAGTAGATTGTGTGAACTTACATGATGTGTTTAAAATATTAACTATGTAGTCAAGGAAGCTGATGTTCTGCAAGACTGGTCTGAAAAAATATGTAAATACTATATCTTAATACACATAACAAAGTCAAATCAAATAAAAACAGGTTATATAACATCCATGCTAAAATATAACAGTCAATGTGTAAGGAAATCATGTCATTTTATTGACAATGCTTTCATAGTCTATGATGCAAGTGGTTGCTGCTAATAGTTCGATACTTTAACTTCACCACATGCACCAATCTATACAAGTACACACAAATGGTTACATGTAGTATGAGTAACAATGAAAAGATACCACATCCAAAATATTCTAGCAATGAAAACTTGCGAACACATCGTGATTTTAATGAGTGAAAGGTATCTATGGATTCAAATTTTTAAAACAGCCATCAAGTTGCAAAAGATGAGCGTGACACTACACGAGTCGCGAATTGGTGAAAAATAGTGGGAAATCACATGCCTGCATTTCACTCCTACATTTTTGTGGTGAACAAAAGCAAGAGTGCCAATTATATACCTAAACTGACATAAAACAGATTCTGTGCGAACAAAACCTCCAGCACACATGTGCTAATATGATTTCCTAGCATCATTATATCTAAACAAGGTACATATCTGCATATACCGATCCACTCGTAAGGGTGCTGAGGAGTCAAGGTCTGACACGTCGGATTGAATGTTGCTGCTATATATTCACAATGTTAGGGCATTGTTATGAAGACCGAAATCGAACTAACGCCCGACGTATAAATGAACAGATACTGGACTATGAGGCATATCTAATACAAATGCATATGATATTTAATACAGCAATACGAAATTGGTACACGGAATTATTACATCAAAACGCAAGTTGTGCAATACAGAATGGGTGTATGTCAGCATCCTTTATTTTATGTTTTTTGTCTTATCACCTCAAACCCTGCAAATAGAAGTGTGCATGGAATCATGGGAAGAAACGGTGTGCATTGCCGGCGATAACTGCCATAAAGGTGATTGACAGGTCATACTTGTTTTCAACTCTGGAAAGACAGCTGGAATCTACCAGGTATGCTGTTATTTGAATAACAAAAGATGGTTATGATCTACTGAGTTGCCTACGTGACACAGTTGCTAGCAAGTCCACATTCTGATTGGTTCATGTGGAAACCCAGGTGGTGTCACTGAATCATGTCTATAAATTAGACAGACTGAGGACAGTTGTGGTCCATCATTTCAACTTAGTATCCTTTGTGTTGCTGCTATATTGTAAGACAAGTGATACAGGCTTCACCATCATTCTGTGACACTTGTATGAACTGCTCTGCGATCTCCTTCTAACGTGTCCTCCAGAATAACAACGTTCCTCTGCAAGCAAGACTCCTGTGTTTCTTCGTTGTTGTGTTGCGGAAGCCATTGACTGTTGTCCATTTCTACATCCTGGAAGTGTGAGTTATCACCAATGCACAATGCACAATGTAATTATTTTGAGAGGTATTAAAATCAGGAGCTTTAACTCGATAATTTATTTCCAGTACTATTGTCTTGTCTAGCCCATACTAGCAGTGAAATGACTAACTGTCCAGTGTGAGTTTTGTGGGTGCCCTCTCATTAGCGATAAACAGGCCTTACACTGTGACAGTGTATATCACTGACAACAAAATGTACTACAGCAAAATGGATATATTGAATATAATAAATTAACTGGAAGGCTACAAGCAAAATGCTGGTGTGTGATAAGATTTATAATATATACAATTCAATCGTTAATGTCACTAAATACTCATCCGAAAAGTCAATAGTCCCAGCTTACCAAAAGTCCAGGTACAATTACGAATAGATGCCAGGAAACAATACGACATGATACGATTTTGTCTAAAGGCCACACCTGATGGTTCGACGTCCGAGTGCGCGGATATACATGACAAAAACAAACTCCTTATAACGGCACAATTGCGATACACAGCGGTTAATTCTAAGCACACAATAATCCCAGTAATTACAGTAATTAATCAAAATATGGCAATCTCACAAGCAGTAGCTGCAGCACTCATATCAGTACACCTTCAAGCAGTGTGTTGCGTTCTGTAACAGTCCCACGCAACCGTAATATACTCGCTTAATTATTCAAACCCGGTTGCCACTAAATTACTGTAGACAGACGTGGTGAAATCTAACGAGCCACCATTAATGCAAACTTGGCATACACAATATCCACGTAGCGAAAGTTCAGTTAGAAGATTAGCAACGTAACTTAATACACGTGTTCACGTGGACGACATTCCATTTCTCACTTGTTGCACACGGCAATTTCAACAAAGGCCATTACATTAACCCAGCTATAAAACTCTCACCAGAACCTATGCAATACCCCTGCAACGAGTCAGTCTCTTCGACCCATCGAATACTGGGTTAACTGGCTTGCCTTTTCACTAACTTGCCCGTCGTCAGCCTCGTCGACCAGTCAAACGATCACTTCTCGTTTACCCTTCTAACCTGCCACACTTCTCAATTTGCATAACAATTTGTTCACGAAATTCATTTCTCAAATTGTCAATATTTGCATAAGAATTCATTGCATACTACCTCGATTGCAAACATGGAAAAGCAATTATATAGATTCAGTTTTACCCTGACACACAATATTATTGTGAATACCAGTAGCATGGCTATTAATACCTAGATATTACTAGATCACTTGCTCTTACAATATTAGCGAGATAAGGTGCATTAGCACATGTACAAAATACATTCACAATCTTGCTCTTCCTTGGTTTCATAGTAAACCAACAAAAGACGTTCGTGCATATGAAATTTAACATGCAGTCGGATATAGTGATACCCTCGCTAGCACGGTGTACACACATCACTATCAAGTGATCCTCTGGCTACCCCTTTTCTTGCATTAGTGATTATGAGTACAGTAGAAAGAAGCCCCCACCACATGGACCCCGTAAAATAACCCATTTTGTGTTTGACGTACTTAGTAAATGTATGGCGGAGATCACATATCAATCCATCACCTTCATCTATAATTCTGTTATTGGATGCCTCAAAAGTGGGGTGGGGAGCCTACTTCATGAGCTTAAATATTGGTGAATGGAAACAATGGCGAGCAAGCCATGATATAGACATACTGTTGTTAGCCCTCAATGCGCTAGTTCTCATTTTTAGGGAACATGCCCAAATGACACAATGATTGTTTAAATAAGTAGATAACAGTATCACAAAATCAAATTTTAATATGAAGCATTTTATATTCAGATTCAGTCTCCTGAATGTATGGATTGTCTCTTTTACAACATTATACTGCATAGTAGGGAACAGTGGAGAGCATTAAGTACTCTCTAGTTTTGTGAGACGATTCTTACAATAAATAAATATGAACAGAATATTAATATCCTATTTCACTGAATAAAACAAAAATGTGATGTTTTGGCAAACAAAAGTGCCCTGCGCAATTGATGGAGAATTGTAACAGCAATACAAGACGAAATTCGGTGTGCTGAAGTTAATAAGGCTTAGATTAAGATGGCTTTGACATGCCGTAACTTCCAGATATTGATTTATTTGCCCAAATTACTCAAGAGGCTTTTTTGACATCTTTTTTTTCTAAGTATAACAAATGAAAACAATTGTTAAATATAAAAAAAAAACATATAAAAGCCCTTTGACGACACTATAAACTGTAAGTTGTACTTATGTTTCAACTTACACACTTTTCAGGGTTTCCGTTTGCACGTACACCAATCTTGGAAGTGGATGGAGTGACCATTGCAGAGAGTCGAGCTATAGCCAGATTCCTAGCAAGACGACATGGTAAGATTCTAACGCTTATATTATAGAACAATCGGGTGATGTTTTTTATCCTAGGCTTCTCTATCGTTCGTGTGCGAATTGTAATTTAACATTTCAGATTAAGACTAGATTGGATATATTTGTTTTACTCACACAGATTTGTATGCGGAAGACCTGTTTGACCAAGCAAAGATAGACATGATAACAGACACAATGAAAGATATTTTTGAAAAACTTGGAGACATATGGTTTGCCAAGGAGAATAAACAAGAATTGATGGACAAATACTATAACGACGTATTCCCTTTGTTATTGCAAGGACTTGAACGTGTATTGAAAGAAAACAATGATGGGGATGGATACTTTGTCGGAGATACGGTAAGAATAACAAATAGTTTTCAATCAAACAAATATTTCATGTGACGTCGAATTATATTAGAGTGTAGTACATTTAACTATGTAACTTTGACGCACGTAACGCTGCTCTATGTAGTATGGTGTACTTAATAATATTTGTTTGATGAAATAAATATGAAAAAGTGAGCTTAGTGGGCTGTGACATGAGTTCTCCCAGAATTAATCAAAACTGGTCTGTCAATCGAATAACGTGAAAGATCTGTTGATTTAATGATATAATCGGACAATAGAAGTTTTGCAAAAAATGAATTCAACAAGTGTAATTTTTAAAAACGTCAACTTCTGATACTTTAAACTACAATGCTAATCAAAGAATCTGGTGATTTTTTCTTCTCTTTTGAGATCTGAATGTTGTGGATCATTGTCAGGCTTGAATGTTACCTTAAACTTTAGTGGTGACTATTGTAAGGCAAGTCTATGTTTACAACAGTCTTTCCTTCACTTCAAACTCATCCACAGAGCTAACCATAATCTAATGTATTAATGTATTCATCTGAACTATCGTACCTGTTGCTATAATCTGGTCTCGAAATAGTACTTGATTCCTAGGTCAAGTCAACAATGCTCTTTCATACAACCAATGTAGACTTCTATATAATTGTTGTCATAATATTAATTTACCCTATCACTCTAACCTGGGAATATAGAACAGCATATTTACGTCATTAGTCTGTAAACAGACTTTACGAATTGTTTCTTTTGGTAGCTTCTGATCTCTGTGTTATCTCGCGTAGCTTCTGATCTCTGTGATATCTCACGTTAATTGCATGTGCAACATTTGGTGCAATAAATGTACTTCACCTGGTTTTCATCACTGCGTTTTGTGAGATGAGCATAGCATCATTAAGAGTTTGATCAACGTTTTCAGTTCTCACTTTGAACAAATGGTGTGTCATTGGTAAGAAACAGAGGTCGTATAATGGCAATGGCATTCCAACGCAAATTCCTTTGTTGTTTGCGATCTGACATACTGCATATAATTTGTATTGGTAATATTGAAATAAGTATGATGCCAAACTGGTCTTCCTGATAACAAAGTCTTGGTGCTATATTTATCATCTGAACATGTATGTATCTTGGAAACTGGCTCGATACTGTAACGCCTCCAGTAAATTGTAGTAAGATTCTATTTTAGGATGTGATACGTTGGGATTGCATTGAATCAACTTGACACGGTTTTTCAGTTTTGGGATATCCAAGATACATCTCATTGCCCGACATTCTCTGTAATATTACTCATGAGGTCTTATTATTAACATGAAAAAATAAACTATTTATGCTGACATTATGTCCATATTTGACAGAGTCGTGAATAATTATGTGCTGAACACTTAAAGTTTAGTAAAAATTGATTCAAATTCACAAGGTGACCTGTTCAGTCCATGACCAAAAATTTGATTCATTGTGTCTTCTAGAACATATTGATGAACAACTGATGCAAAATATCGTTTTTGTCAAGAAGGTTTTTAAGAAATTAATATTTTGTTTGTGTGTGTTTTTAAGGGAATTATCAGGTTTTTACAAAAAAATGCCCAAGAACGCATTGAACATTACATTCTGCACTTGCAAAGTAACGAGCTGTATGCCAGATATAATGTTGGTATATTGCTGCAAGACGTACTGTACCACGCCATATGACTATCATAGTCCAATACTCTTCAACTTCAAACAAGCAGTATGACGTATATCTTTGTATTTATTTGTGAATGATATTAATATAGTTTTGATAAATAATGATATACCGTTTTATTATGCTTAGGTGACACTGGCTGACCTGTCATTTGCTGATACAAGCTACTTTATGGTGGAGTGGAGACCGGATGTATTAAATGAATATCCCAAATTAAAGGCGTTGAAAAAACGCGTGGAGAGTCGCCCGCGAATTGCTGAGTGGATGAAAAAAAGACCAGAGTCCACCATATGAATGGTGTTTCTCCAATGTTAACATCAATTCACGAATTTAAAATACAGAAAAGTATTCTTGTGTGTCATGATATCATTAACATCAAAGTAGACAAAATGGTCAATAAAAGTAACCTATTAACCTCTGTGAATCTGTCATGTCATAACACTTTTGTATGGAAGGAGGTTTATGATGCAATTCACTTCTTTATTTTGTCCGTTTTGTATCACATTTCTTTTTCTGATAGTGAATGTTTATTATCTAGTTCATAGTGAATTATAGCCAAGTAGGCAGCAATATGTCGTTATACTCCTCACCACTGTGAGATCAATGATCAGGTTGATTGATGAGTCGCAAACAATTTATAATACAAGGAACATTCAAATGGTTTCATGCTTTAAAATCCATTCTCGGCAAATCAGGATGTTCCATTACAGAACTTTATATACATTACATCTACTGTTTCCACTCTGGCTCAAGTATGTATTGTTGTCACAACTAAAATCACATTTCTGTGTTCTCATAAGTTTTCCGGAGACTTTTACATACATTACATTACATCATTGATGTGAACCACGACCTAGTTTTGTTGTAAAGTAAAGAATCCATTAGGGCTGAGTTCAAACTCAGATGCCATACAATGATTGGTATGATACACATGAACTACCTGCACCTCGATAACCTCATGTCATTAATTCATATTCGAATTATAATGCAACTCATTAACATCCACCAGCTACCAGCATATTCTATTGAAAACAAGAGCATGGTTCCCTTCTCCTTTACACAATTCCTTGACTGAACTTCAAGAATGACTTCATATGTACCCTTTACGTGTTCCTTTAAGATAGATTTGGTTGCCTTCTGTCTCTCTCTTTCTGTTTCTATTTCTCTGTCCCCCCTCCTCTTCATCTTCCCTTCACCTTCTTCCCTATCACTTTCCCTCCTCTTCTCCTCTTTTCCTCCCATTCTACCCTTTTCCACCTCGCTCATTCTACTCTCTCACATCCCTCTTCTCCCCGACTTCCCTTCTCATTTCGTCCTCCCTGACCACTCCCATCTCTCTGTCCTCTCCCTTTTCTCCCTTTCCCATATCTTCTTGCAGACAACCACATGTTATTATAAAATGAGCATTTAAATAGTCTAATGTTGAATGTTGACAATACTGATATCACAATTGATGAAATATACTTTGTATTTATTTAGTAAAATTACACACACAAAATGTAATAATGACACAGTCACCAAACAATTAATTATAAAACTGATAACACCAATAATGACAAATTAACAATACAAACATTGTTCATACGACATGATACAATTGATATTACCACTAATAATTATAACATTGATCACATTGATAGAAATAAACAAAATGAGGATATTTTGATACCAATATAGATGATAGTAAAATTATTATTACAAATACTGAAAACAACAACATTCAGCTAATAACACACTTTCAACTGAAAACGAATGAAATCACAAGCGGATATGCAAAAGTGAACATTTCTAGGTACAAAGAAATGAGGATATTTGCAATATAAACATAAAAAAATTGACAAAAATAGTGCACCACCGGAAAATCAGTATACCTAAATCAAATTAAACTCAACAGTAATGAATTGTCAACTCCTTTTTTTTATAAATCATCATGGGGATTATTTCCGTCGTCTCGTTTAATATCAGTGGTTGTTATGACTTTCTTAAGCGCTATGATCTGTTTAATTACTTGAAACTTAATTACAAAGATGTCTTCCAATTTCTTCAGAAAATGCACTCATTTACATTGATGAACTCAGGTGATATGGCGTTTACCAATTTATTTTTCTCATTGTTCTAGTACTTTTGTTGCTGTTGCTATAAATCGTAATGAATGAATGTGACTGATGTTTATACAATTTTCCATATGTGTATGCACCATTGGAACCGATCGCCATTCGCTCTATCAAAGTTTTAAAAGATTCTAGATGATTTAAATTGTTCATATAGATCGCAATAACGAACGAGAACCTCATCCATGTTCAGAGGAGACAGCGACATTGGACACTTTATATTAATGAAACATTAACTTCAAAAATTGTACAAATGACCTCTTTTTTTAATTCTGCAATCATTCTTTTCGTCTAGTCTTAAAAACAGTTTAGTATCCTATTACCTTTGTGGTGCTTTAATACTAAACGTATTTACGACTGTGACCTAAATAATAAATTCATGGTTATGTGTCGAAAACAAACAAGTAATTATACAAATATACAATATAAAAACTATGGTGGAATATTGGTAAATACAAAATTAAAGAGTCAACAAAAAATACACTTCTAACACCTCATCTCAATTTAAAAACACGAAGGAAAGATTTGAAACCATTCGAAACGAATACTAAGTAAATAAAGAAGGGAACCAAGGGTGCATAAATTTGCTCTCGTCACCGCCTTCTTAGTAATTGAAGTTTTGTGTTTGATCTTAAAAAATAGGTAGTGTAACATAAATGTATATCCCAACTCCGTACTCATGACAACATTCTTACAAATGACACAACTGAAATGTGTCTCCTGATCGAGATTCTAAGTGATCTACCATAGTTTGAGCCTGACACTGTTTAAATATGTGTACTCCAAAAGGTGAGGGAGAGTGTACTTTGCATGTGCAACCGGAGATCTCCAGCATGTTGCTCATTATTTTGTCTGGTGTTTGTGTTTTCTGTCATGAAAAGAATGCATATATTTGTACAATGCACTCGTCTACCACCTTTGCCTGAGTTTCTTGGGAAAAATAAGTAGCAAACCGATCGAAGAAGTTTTTCTGCATTTGTGGTTTATTCTTGGTTTCCCACCACTCGAGGGCCAGTAAAAGATCTTGGCCTTGTTAAGCTATATTCTGATAGCTTCGAAACTAGCCATTCGGATCACACGACACAACGGCCTGATGATGTGACTAAGAATGCACTCGAGAATATATGGTGAATACTACCTCTACAATAGTATAGAAAAGTCCAACAACATCTGAAGTCTAGATAAACTTTTTTATTGTAATTTGTATACTTATTTTCGCTACAATGGTTCCCTTGTATAAAACAAAACATGTGATAACAGTAACATATTATGTTACCAATTATGTACAATTTGTATTATTTGTGGTTTTTTTCTGAATAAATACCGCATACAATTTATTGTTCATACTGTTTGTCATGGCTCAAACTGCGAGAGATGGAATAATACACATATTACATACACAACACCGTTATATATATTTACAACATTGAAATACTATATTATAAGATATTAATTCATAAAATGTATTAATGATTCCATTTAGTAATTAGTTACAAAAGTTGGGATGCAAGCTGCAATTCATTACGTATAAATCGGAGCCTAATGTATGTACTTTATGAGCCACAATAGTTGGATTTTCAGTCTCCAGTTCCGTTGTTTCATTATCAGAGTTCAAACAGTGGTTTCTCTCATCATCTACACTTGCAGCCACTTTGTTTCGTGTAAAGCATGCGCCAAGAAAGGTCAAGATAACGGACAAAAACAGCAGACCGTCTACAGCACGTAATATAAAAATATTACTCACACAGCGTTCTACAGGTTACTTGTTAGTGCCAAGTAATTGTTCGGCCTATTGAACAAAAGCGGTACTTTCACACTTAAACAGGCACGGCTACTTGTGTGATTAACTACACACACATTAATATTTCATTTTGCTGACTTCTGTTGACAAGAACGAGATGGGAGTTGTGACAGAATTATTATGATTCGTGTTGTGGAAAGTTGGAATGGAATGCTTGCATACAATTTTGTTTTAGCTTAATCTACGATTATTTTTGAATACTACATTTTTTTCGTCGTGGCCGCAAATACGGTGTAGCAGTTTAAAAACAACAGACGTTTCAGTAACGTGTAAAGTGACAACGTGAGTCACCAAATCAATTCTAACCTCACTAATAAACACATAAGTAGTTCTATTGTACTTTATCAGTGAGTCTGACCTGCCACCTGTTAACATATTTTAACCCGAAGACTTTGTTCACACGTACCTCATATCGGGATTAAACACGGATCTCGGAGGCCGAAACCAGCCCTCTAAGCAAAATATTCCTAATCTTTTTACAGTTGTTTTCCATCAAGAGGGTTAAAATTACCCCCCCCCCCTTTGAACCCGCGCTTCGTTGCACGTGTGGACATCACATTATGTTAATTCCATTCATACTATGCCACTTGCAAAATTCAGTTCAAACCACGTCACCTAACCAGGTCATGTTACTCGTTATCTTATTTACAGCTAGTGAATACCAAGATGTCGCAGTATAAGCTAGTCTATTTTCAGTTCAGAGGACGTGCCGAATTAGCTCGTTTGGTTTTTGCCGAGGCTGGAATTGAATACAAAGACATACTAATCGATCGGAAAGATGAATAACCGAAACTGAAGAGCTCACCAGGCATTAGTAGTAAGCCAAACCAGTTTTCATATATGTAGCCCACTTGAGGGCACGTCATTATTTTTTTACGATACGCTATTACCCATCGAACATTGGACCTAAAACCACCACGAGCTCAGAGCCAACGTCCGCACGTTCCAGTGAACAAATACTAAATAACTATGAGTAAAGTATCAGGGTTAAAACTGAACACGTATCGGACACACCGATTTGTTTGATAACACGCAGATATACTCCGCCTAAACTTTTCCTTGTTTTGCATTTTTTGGGACTTTCTAACTGTATATAAAAAACAACAATTACTCAATAAGCCATGTCATTGACCCAGGTGTCAATTTCAGTCGCAATCGGCGTCATAAAACTAATATTTTTCTAAAACTACTCTTAGATGGGGAACGGTCCAGGCATACGATGCCGTCACGAGGACCCGACGTACTAATAATTCAAAATTACGTACGTATTGGAGGGCGTTGTTGTGTGTTTTAAAATGATGTGTGCATTTTAAAAACGTCGAGACTGAATTTTAATGGTGGGTGTTTTAAAACGACTTGTGTGTTTAAAAATGATTGATGTA